GCATTCACACGTCCCCCTCACAAGCCATCAACCTGTTGAGCATCTCTCTCTCTCCCAGCTCTGAGACCCAAGTATTGGCCCTGCACTCCCCTCATCTCCACACCTCTACAGGCACCAGACCCTCTCACCTGCTGTGCCCAGATAAAACTAGTCTCATCCTATCTGCACTCCAAAGCAATTTTCTTTACAAGTCTATCACTCCATTTGTTTCTTCTTACTTTGGTTACACAGTATCTTTGATGCTTCAACAAGCATGCCATTCTGCCAACCAAAAAGCGTGTCTACCGTGCCAGGCACTATGCTAGGTGCACCAGGTTAACAGCAGTAAACAGAAGGTGCCTACCCTCAAGGAGCTCATCATCTAGCAGATTACTGACTGTAAACAAGGGCAGGTGATAACTGTAATAACGGTCTTTGAAAATCCAGGAGCTGTCTGGCGCGCGGGTGAAAACAAGTTTCTGGAGACCCTGCGTCAAACCCGGCCTTTGGGTTTCACTAAATAGAAAAGGAGAGAGCGCAGGAGACATCAGCTGGTGCTCAGGATCAACCGAGCATCCCCACCAATACACACAGGTCTTTCAGGGAAAGGCGCTCTCCTCGCCGCCCTCACCTGGCCCCTGTCCAGGCCCCCAGCCCTCGCACATCAGCATCACCTCCCATTTAGGAGGTACGCAGAGGCGACCCCGGGGGTCGGCAGCCTTCCTTCCCCGCCCGGCGCGTCCACCCATGCCTTCCGGGCGACTCGCCCCGCAGCCCCGCCGCCCCGCCGCCCCTCGGCCCGGCGGTTTCCAGCGCAAGCACGCGCCCAAACGGCGCTCTGCGTTCGCGGGGCGGCCCCAAGCGGGCCCGAGGCGCTTGCCCGGCTCCGCGGCCGCTGCAGCTTCCCGACCCGACCGCAGGTGGTGGCTCGCCGGGCCCCCGCGCGGCGCTCACCCTCGAGCTGGGGGACGCCTTCCGCGTGTACGGCAGCGGCGGACCCCGACGCAGCTCCGCGGTCCCCAGCGCCTGGGCCCCGGCGGTCTGAGGGTCCATGCCCGGACGCTGCTCGGCGCCCTGGACGCTGCTCGGCCACGTGACGCGCCCGCCTGGATGCCAGCCCGAGGATACGCCGCGGAGGGGCCAATCAGCCAGCCGGGGGTGCTCCAGCACGAGGGGGGGCGGGACAAGAGGGGAGGGTCACGAGGGAGCCGGGGGCGGGGCGCCGCAGGAGGGGCGGGGCGCGCCCTACCGCGAAAGCCCACCTACGGGTCCCAAATCGGATTTTTCTGGCTCCTGCCGATGGAGGCAAGGCTAGACTAGCTTGGTCTGGAATGCTATGTGTTATCCCTACCCAGCTTCAAACCTCCAATTCCCGTTACCCGAGTCTACCTGATAGTGTATAGAGCTCAGCTCTCAAAACTTTTAATGCAATCGTAGCTCATCAACCACATTTCACTCTTGATCTCACAAATTTCCCAGGAACTCAGGCTGGAATTGGGCTAGAACTCACCCACAGATGAATGTGACAACTCAGTAGCCCAGTGTTTCTCCACCTTCAGTTAGTGATAGTTCTTAGTTAATCCATCAGAAACCAGGACATATGATCAAAACTTCTACAATGCACTGGACACAGTACAGGCCAATCATTAATAACCCTAAACGTTCAGTGCTCACGATGGGCCGACCTGGGAAAAGCTCCTTGAATGCTCAGTCCGGCCCTCTACAACCTGCAGGTGGCAAAAGACAGGCAGAGGCAGCCTTCCCTGCCTTTCCCCACACTGGCAGGTCAAAGTGTGATAGTCACCTTAACATTTAAGTAGCAGAAAAGCTGGAAGCTGGGATTCCTTGCTCACCATTCCTTGCTCACCAGGCCACCTTATGACAATCTTTGAGCAATCAGAAAGAGCCTATTCCCTCATCTCCTTCCAAGAATGTGTATTTTGTAAACTGCATAAGGGACTTGAACAATTTTAATGTAACAGTTAATACATTTTTTTCTTTGTCTCAAAGTACACTTTCCTATAGGGAAGACAATGTGATCAATTAACGTATGCTGTTCTGACCCGTGAGTCAGCTTCACCAAATCTAATTGGATCTATCTAGGTCAACGATGTCCAACAGAATCTTCTGTGATGGTGGGAATAAAAGTTCCATAATCTGTGCTATCCAATATGGTAAAGATGTGGCCAGTGCAAATTAGAAATCGAATTTTAATAAATTTAAATTGCCACACGTGGCCAGAAACTACCATACCTCAGTGCAGCTCTAGGTGAACTAGCTAGATGCATTTTCATAGCCTGCAATGGTGAGAACCAGATATAGGGTTGTGATAATCCCAGAGGACCAACCTTTACAGCCGTGCTATAAGGAGCCAACCACCTTCTTTCCTCTCTTGCATGCAACATATATCTTTCCTAAAATAAAAATGCCATGTTGGGCCCGGCCAAGTGGCACGATGGTTAAGAACTCGCTTGGGGGCCGGCTGAGTGGCTCAGTTGGTTAAGAGCTCGCTCAAGAGAGTTTGAGCTCTGAGCAACAGCGGTTCGATGCCAGCCCGAGCTGAGCAG